TTTTTTTTTAGGATTTTACAATCCAAGATTGTGTAAGGATGATTTGGTGAGTTTGGGAGAGAGAGCTTTTGGAGAGAGTTAGAAGCCTTTTTTCTCAAAAAATTTTAATTCATTTTTTGCCTATAGGAAGTCGTACTGTATCAGCCGATACATCCCGATACGGCTACGATACGGTCCCCATACATCCCAATACGCCCGGATACAGGTACAATATGCCCCCAATATGCCCCGATACGGTCATGATACGAGGTTGGCACAACGAAAAGACATGATATAAATGATTTTCTATTGTTTCCCGTGCCGGCCCCTTAAATATACGACACGTATCGGCCGATACGGGCCGGTACTTTGCGAAATTTTGAACCTTGGTTTACCCTAAAAGTATCTCTAGACAACTTTGGTGTTACTAATAACAGAATCACATATGAGTTTGATGATGAGATCTAATGAACCTATGCCAATTACTCTTGAAGACTTTTCCTGCATTGATGCACCTGAACATTAAATGTTCTCCTTTATTAATTTGGAGAAGACTGAGAAGTTGCTTTTTAATGCACTTATTAGTCAGACTGGAACTTTTTTTTATCAGTTCAGTTTGGGTCAGTTTTTGATCAATTCAGTTTAGGCCATTCTGCAAAAGAAAGAGCTGTTTTGCATACATTGGATAGGGAATCTATTTGATTGTATATTGGGGGTTCACCACCATATAGTATCTCTATCTCACCACCATATGGTGAGAGTTCCATTTTAACTATGTATATGACAAAATGCTGTATGCTAACCTTTTAAAAAGATGCTGTACATTAAACTTCACCATTTCACTCTATTAGGAAGAGGAACAATGTCCAGGCTGCCTGAAATATTTCGAAGCATGCATACATTTGTGCAGACTCCTCGACTAACCAGATTCTCTCTCCAACCCCCCAAGACTGTAAGTCTCAATCAATTTCTGTATTATTCTAGATGACTTTTATATTTCCGAACTTGTTGTCCAACCTGCTTTCTGATTTCTATTCTCATGCTTTCTTTTATTGATGTTTACATTTTTGAGTACTCATTCCAGTAAAATCCAAAAGTTACTTTTTTTGTGATTTAAATGTTTTTCCTTTTGTTTTCCTTAACTGCATAGCAAAATGCTCCATGAACTAGTGCAGACTTCAAAAGACTTGCTGATTAGCTTTATTTGTCACTGTAAAAAGTTCTGCTCTTTTTCACATCAATTTTTTGAAGCTTTTTTATTGGATGTCTCTGATCTTAAGAACTTGGATGAAGGGGACTCAAAAATAGTGGTATCTTGGACCAATTCAAACGGTAATGTTCCTTGGATCTATAGACATCCATTAAGGGAAATAGTAAGCATAGCAAGGGAACTTAAGGCCTTGTTCACATGGATCAGGAGAACTGCAAATGGAATGGCTGATTCTCTAGCTAAATAGGGAGTTCAAAGGCAACAGCTTTTTCTGGGCTCTATTGTAACTATTTCTGGTGCAATGTCTGCATCTAGCTGCAGTAATCCTGTATTTATTTCTCTTAATTGAATAAAATTCTCATTTTTCTGTTTGATGGTTTTGGTATCCAGTTCATCTGGATCTCTAGACTTCCCCCTTAAAGTTAAAATTGAGCCCAATACTCAAGGAATGGTTTTTGAGATGGTCTAATTGTTAATTAAGGTCCGGATTGAGTGAATGGAAGATATGAAACTATGGTAGAAATCTTTAGATTTGGAATTAATTCAACCCGCCTCCTAAATATGAGGAACAGATTTAGGATGCTGGTAAACTTAAGAAATATTTGGAGATTCTCAGTTTGTATTTGGCTGGAAAATTTGTGATGTCAAATCCTGATGTCAAGCAGATTTAGGATTATATCAGTTTGTAGTGGGAGGTTGGGGGTGAAATGGAAGTTTGTGGACTGGGGAAGGGCTTTTTCTCTTCGTTTTTTTGAATAAGTTGGATCTGGAGAAGATTCTTTCTTCTGAAAGGGAACAAGTTTGGTCCCTGAATTACATCTTGATTTGTTGTATCCTGGAGCAGGAATGCTGGATAAGAGACCTCCCCTGAATTAGTTTGGATTCAGTGGCTGGGGTAGGCTACATGTGTGGTGTTTCCAAGTCTTTTCTGTTATCAATGAGGCAGTAGGGCACTTTGTTACAGTGATCGGAGAACTGCAACCTTGTCATTGTAAATGACAAGATTGCTTGTAGAGGTGGATGGTGTGAATTAGATTCCTTTGGCAATGGATAATGTAGGTTTTAGCAGCGTTATTCTACCTCCCAGAGAAATATAGATTTTACTACCTCTCCATCTTTAGAATGCCCAAAAAGGAGGTTTTGAAGATTGAAAAGATTATGAGAGACTTTTTGTGGAACCAGGAGAGGATAGAAGGGACCACTTGGTCAATTGGGAATTGTTTGTAAAAGGAGAGAGAAAGGGGGGCTAGGTATAGGCAACTTAGGGAAGAAGAGCTTAGCTTTGCTGGGTAAGTGGTTGTGGAGGTGGCCTCTGGAAAGGGAGATATTATGGCATCAGGTGATACAGAGTGGACATGGACAGGCATGCAATGGTTGGGATGTGGGCTTGTCAGTTTGAGCAAATTTGGCCTCACTATGGAAGGCTATTCATGGTATCCTTCCTCAGTACCTAAGTCACATTAGGTATGTTTTGGTTGGAGACGGAGTTCTTTTTTTGGAGGATATTTTGGTTGGCTCTTCCTCTTTAAAGGATCTCTTTTCCTTCTTATTTATTCCATTAGTTTATAAAATATCAATTTTGAATACTATTATTTTAATTTTTAATTGGAGTTGTTGAACATAAATATATTTATTTGTTTAGATGGACGCAAAAGTTATTATGTTTCATTTATTGTCACAATAACCAAGGTGGTCTAGTGGTTGAATGTCGCATTTAAGGTTTGGGCATAAAAGTGACTTGGGTTCAAAACATAATAGGAGCATTTTTTTAATAGAGACGTGGCATGCAGACACATGGTATCAATGTGTATTTGCCCGTATTGTTGTGTATTGGATCAATACAATACGATACACACCGATACAGGCCCGTATTGACCCAATATGCACAACTCAAGGGATACACCCTTGATTGTAGCTTATCCCATATCTATAAGCATCAATACTGATACGATATGCCCCGTATTGAGCATATCATATCGATATTTCAATCCTTGCAACTTACCTATGGGCCAATTGTATATGAATACACCTCTTAACTTTTTAGTTGAGAGGGACAAAAGAGAAGGTTATTGTTCCTTTTGATTAGTGATCACCTCATTTGTTAAATTCTCTGACTACCGTTATTTTGATCTCTCTACTACCCTTTCAAAGGATGCTAGAATCACAACCTTTGTCTTTTAGCACTGGCTTGAATTATTGTGTAATAGCTAACAAGTTCCTTGCACCATTTTCAACTTTGTTGCATCCTTTCATGATTTTTGTAAGAGATTAATGATGGTCATAACAGAAATAGGAAATTGTTTTGTCTTTAATCAGTTGCTTGTACTAGTTGATAGTATGGTTACATTTACTTCAGTGTAACCGGTTCATTGTCACTCCACTTGTTACCTGCAAGTGTGTTGATTTCCCTACTTAAATCTCGCAAACCCTTTTTGCCAGGTAGAAGTGGAATTTTGTGATGGGAAAGTGTTCAACCTGTCAGCAGAGTTTCTTCGAATATATAGCCCAGCTGCCAACAACAAGATCAGGTCAGCAGGAGGTGAAAGGGTAATAATTTGATCAACTTTCTACTAACTGTTAATTTGTTTCGTCATGCTTCTTATCCCTCTGTGAATTTTCAGATTCTTCAGGAAGCTAAGGTAAATATCAATGTTAGGTTTGGAAGGAAAAAGGCTTCTAGACCCATCATACTCATTATAGATTTCCTTCAGGAAAATCAACTTGGTCAGATGATTCTGACCACTAACCCTACTGATCTACATTTGCTGAAAAAGGGAATAAAGAAAAGTAACAAAAAGGAAAAAAAGAACTATACAAATTTCTTCTCTTTATTCTTCAATATCTATTATCAATCTCTCTAAATCACTGAGAGCTTTAAACGGGTTGGGTAGTTAGGATCATTAAATGACTTTAACCTAAAGGATCTCTGATATAGGAGTAATCAAATGGATACTTCCAGCTCTCTGATACCTCGTCAACACAATGGGACCAATGCTTGACTGGCACTTACATATACATTTTGCTTAGTTCCTAACCTTAATCTAATTCTGAAAAGTTCCAACTCCATAAGATAGTTTATTTCTTTGTTTATTTTTACTGGTAAGAGGGAAAGCGTCTCAAAGAAAAAATCCGAACTAAAATCATAATAACCAGTTGTAAATCACACCTACAATTAGGGGTGGCAACGAGCCGAGCTTTTCACGAGCTGTTCGAGCCCAATTCATTGGTTCGATTATTAAACGAGCCGAGCTCGAGCCTACTAGAGCTTGGCTCATGAAGCTTGTGAGCCGGCTTGAATATATATAAGATAAAATTATAGAAAATAATATATATAATAAAAATATTATAATTATTAATTATTATAATTCTTAAATTTTTAAATAAAAAATAAAAAATATTTTATATATAATTTTTATTTTTATAAAATATTTTTATAATAAAATATTTATAAAATATACAATAAAATATTTTTATAAAATATAAAACGAGCCAAGACGAGACGAGCTCAAGCTTATGAACTCTTGACTCAAGCTGCGCTCGAGCTTGGTACTATTCGGCTCGGCTCGAATCCACCCCTACCTACAACAATATAAATGAAAAGAAAAGAAATAGGAGAAAAGGAGATTGAAGAGAGAGAAGTGATGGAGGAAGATGGAAGAAAAGGAAGAAGAGAGTTGTTCTAAAACCTCTCTTCAGCCCCCAATGATCTCTTTTATTCTTTTGTTGTAAAATATAAGGACAATTACATTAGTGCCCTTAGTAGGGCGTCCATCACTAAAGACAACAATAAAAAACAATTAAAAACAAGAAAACGAGCCCATAACTAAGGTCCACTACCTACTAAAACAAGTCATAAACATAACTTAAAGGAAAACAAAGAAACTAAGGCCCATTCGGCCCATTATCTCTACACTCCCCCTCAAGCTGAGGCTGAGCGTAGATATTAGTCATGCCCAACTTGCTTACACAATGTTGTAACTTTGCCTTGGGGACACCCTTGGTTAGAACATCTGCTAACTGTTGCTGATCAACTTCAATATGTTTTGTCTTATCATGCTGAACTGGGTTGTGATTTATGTTGATCACAGCCTGATTATCATAGTAAAGCATTAAGGGTTTATCATGTGTAATACCCATCTCCTCTAGAAGTGACCTGAGCCATAATAACTTTGAAACTCCATGTGCCATTGCCCTATACTTTGTCTTAGCCAAAGACCTGGCTACTACTGACTGTTTCTTTCTCCTACAGGAGACAATGTTCCTTGCAACCAAGGCACAGTAACCCAATGTAGATCTCCTATTGTCAATACTACCGGCACAATTGGCATCTGTGTAAGCCTCTAGCTTCATGTGTCCATGCCTAGAGAAGTGGATACCCTTTTCCTAGAGTTCCCTTCAAGTAACATAGAACTTGTTCTGCCGTAGCCATATGTGTGTCTCTAGGGGCATGCATAAACTGACTGATCACACTAACAACATATGAGATATCTAGTCGTGTCATGCTAAGGTATAACAACTTCCCCAAAAGTCTCTGGAAAACTCCCCTGTCTACCAAAAGCTCACCATCATCAGCTGAGAGTTTATGGTTAGCATAGAGGTGTAAATCGGGTCGTGCCGCCTGCGGCCCGGCACGATGGTCCGTGCCGTGCTGGGCCTGGGGTTCGAAGTCCACGGGCCAGCATGGCACAACACGACCAAATGCCTGGCCCGACACAGCCCAACACGACCCATAAATATGCATAATATTTATATATTTTATATATTTATATATATAATATATAATATATTGTATAAATTATAACTATATAGTAATATATAGTATATAATATATTAATAAAATAAACAATTTTTTTTTCAATTTTTTTATACTAATTTATTTAATTATTGTATATATAAGCAATTGTATACATCAAAATTCATATAAAATTAAAATTTTAAGTTTTTTTCAATTTTTTAAATAAATAGGCCAAAATAGCTTTGGCCCGGTCCATGGCCCGACTTGGGCCAAGGCTTGGCCCACGGACCAGGGCCGTGCCGGGCCGACCCCCAAAATTTTCATCGGGGAGGGCGACACAGCCCGTGATGGCTCGTGGGCCAGCATGGCATGACCCACTTTACACCTCTAGGTTAGCATCAGTAGGTGTAGAAACAGGTTTGGCACCAAGTTTCCTCGTCTTTATGAAAAGATTTAACACATACTTCCTTGGTAGATGAAGATGCCATCTTTAGACCTAGCAACTTCGATTCCTAGGAAATTGTTAGAAGGGTTAAGATCCATCATATGGATGCTGAACCATACTAGATGGAAGGGTTAGGATCCTTTTGGGAATTGAATTCTCTATGTTTTGAAACATTGCATTTTTCAAGATCGGTCTTGCATTGAATTGGACCAGATTTGAAACCGATCAAAGAGGGAGATTTATACCTGATACGAATACCACAAATGCAGATCCCAAGGTGGAATTTCATGCCCAAATCAGTCTTAAAACCAGCCTCTATTGAAGATGGTGCAATGTATAGGTGAAGCTGATTCAACAACAAAGTTTTCAGTAAAACTGCAACCCAACTGCTTGGATCGAATTGGGGAAGGTGAGCCTAAAACTTCTTGGAATTTTTTTTGCAAAAATCAAAAGAAAACTGATCTTTATCAGTCCTTGAAAGCCTAGGTCATGATAGGGCTTCTTGGAAAACAAAAGAGAAGAAGAGAGAACAAGAGAGAGTGGTGTCCTAGTCTGCTTCGCCCTCTTCTTCTTTTATCTGCTCATGAAGCACTCTCCTAATAAAATTAGGAGATAATCCAAATCTAATTTGGATCTGGACTCTATTAAGAGATAAGCCTTATCTTCTTAAGAGGATGGGTGCTCCATACTCATTTCCAAATCCAAATTTGATCTAGAGCAAGTTGTCATGTGACAACTTACTTAATCTTATTAATTATGGGCCTTACGCCCATTTCCTTCAAAGGATCACAACCCAAGGTGTTACATGGCCAACTTAGTCCTGATTTGTATGGCGTGGAACCCCACAAGACCTCACATAAGTCCACATGGGTTTGGCTCAGCCTCGATGAAAATGCTTGGCTGAATTCACTGCTACACGTAGTGAACCCCTGAGTACATCACTATGGGCTCAATATGGGCCCAAAATTTACACTTAAATGATCATTGAATTCAGCCATCCTATGAAGATCCAAGGATAATGGACTTAAATAAGATAAAGCCCATCAGGTAATCAGCCCTTAATGGTCTCTTACACTTAACCTCTTGGCTTATAATGATCAAACACTGCCCGATAGGGAAGGAACTCTCCCCTGGCTGCAAGGTGCACTGTCACACTCTCTGCTTGAATGGATCTCGGGAATTAAAACCTTTTGCAAAAATTTTTTAATAAAACATATATATATATATATATATATATCATATAAATATAGTAGTCTAGTAGGACTACAATCAGTCCTAGATATAATGTGCAATAAACAAAGAAAAATAGGTTTGAGAAAGAGAGAAGAAGAAGGAGAGAAGAAGAGAAGGAGAAGATGAAGAGGAGAATTCAAAAAGTGTGGGTTAACTAGAATTGTTGCCCCACTCAGCTATTTATATTAATAATCAAAATAAGGGGAAAAATGTTGAATTAACCCTACTGCTTACATAAAAGAAATAACTACGAACTGAAAATAACTACTACTAATCATAAATAAACAAGCAACATTGGGGACCACATAAATAACATAGTGGGGACCACATTAATGTTCTCTACACTCCCCCTTAAGTTGGGAATAGATGTTTGTCATTCCCAACTTGCATAGGTTTGCTTCTAACTTTGTCTTTGAAACTACCTTAGTGAAGAGATCTGCAAGTTGCACGTTTGAGGTGATATATGGAAGACACACTTCTTGTGAAGCAACTCTTTCTCTGATAAAGTGTCGGTCCACTTCAATATGCTTAGTTCTATCATGTTGTACCAGATTGTGGGCTATGTTAATAGCAACCTGATATTCACATTGCAGCATTAGGGGCTTCTCATAAGTAATACCCAACTCCTCAAATAGGGATTTCAACAATAGTACTTCAGCCACACCATTTGCCATGGACCTATATTCAGCTTCAACACTAAAGCGAGCAATAACATTTTGTTTCTTACTCCTCCAAGAAACAAGATTACCTCTTACAAAAGCACAATACCTAGAGGTAGACCTCCTATCATCAACACATCCAGCCCAATCAACATCTGTGTAAACTTCTATTTTCTTGTGACCATTATCTTTGAATAGTATACCTTTGCCTAGACATCTCTTCAAATATGTCAGTATCCTCTCAACTACAAGTAGGTGAGTAGTTCTAGGAGAATGCATATACTAGCTAACAACACTGACGGCATAACTAATGTCTGGTCGTGTGAGACAAAGAGAAGTTTTCCAACTAACCGTTGGAACATAACTTTATCTTCAAGGGGCTTTCCACCTTCTACACTGATCTTGTGATTTTGTTCAATAAGTGTGTCAACAGGTTTAACACCTAGCTTCCCTGTTTCTTCCAACAAATCAAGAA